AAGCTAAGTGCTAACATAGTTTTGCGGCAATACAGAGCGATATAGTGCACGCACTGAGACGAGAGAGGTATGTATCAACTCGTCTTAGTTAAGGGAATAACATAGTTTAATAAGAAAAACTGGTGGAGTATCCCTTTAACCAAGCAAGTGTTAATGCAAGTGTTGTTTTTCATTATTAGGCAAGTGGAGGTTTTCATTAGGGTATTAGGCTACCTTGATTTAATTTATTTTAATTCACGACTTTTCTCTCTCTCTGCCTTTTTAGAATTACACTGGGGCCTGCACAAACATGTCATTATATATGCATTTCGATGACATTACTATTATTATTTTGTGTAGGACACAGACATTTTAAGATATCGTAATTCCATGATTTGTTGCGTCTGTGTTATGTCCCGCATGATGGCCCTGTCATCTAACAACCAATCACCGTGATCACTGCGAGGAGGCTCGTGCATGAGAAGTGACGTCATCCATAGCAACGATGACTCACTCTTAGTTTAGGAGTTGTCATTTTTCCTTACTAAGAGTAGGTCTGAAAGGCGTTGTGAATAACTTTTAAGAGAAAACTCCTAGCTAAAATATTTTGGTGCGATTTACGAGTACTCCTAGTGGTAAGATAACATTCTTTGTGAATACGGCCCCTGGTTTTATTATGTGGACTACCTGTTTGTGATGTTGAAGTATTTGCCTGTATTATTACGTTTATCTTTCTTGTAATCCTAAACCAAGTGTCCCAGCTCGTCATTGTCGTTACTTTAGCTTTTGAACTGTTGAACTGTTTCTGATGCTTTTAATAGTATGTCCTCAATGTCTTAATACTGAAAAGTCTGAGTACTTCTCAACAACTCACTGCCTTGTGTTCTTTTCAGTGCTATTAATTCTGCTTTGAACACTCCTCAATCATCTTGAGTTTTCTGTTGAGATTTGTTAAAACTTCTTAACATTTTTTGTTGACAAGATTTCTGCAGTTAGAGCACACACCTCACCTCCCTCTGCAGATCAATCTATCACCACTATGTGCTCTGCTGTTTTAACCAGCTTGAGTCTCTTTTTTGAGATATCATTGTTAAAATGAAATCATCTGCCTGCTGCATAGACATCGTTTCTCCTCATTTAAAAAAAAATGCTTTTGAAACCCTTGAACCCAAAATTTAAACATGCAATAGTGGAACCATTGATCAAGAAATCAAATTTGGATTCCTCTACTCTTGCTAATTTCAGACCCATCTCAAAACTTCTGTTCCTTTCCAAAATATTAGAGAAAGTTGTTTTTACACAGTTGCAGTTATTTTTAAATCAACATGGTTTGCAAAAAAGTGTTTCAATCTGGTTTTAAATCACTTCATAGCCCAGAAACAGCCCTGTTAAAAGTTTTTAATGACCTGTTACTAGCCACTGACTCCATAACATCCTGATGTCTCCTTTGGAGCGTTGTGTTGGCATTAAGGTACTGCGTTGGAGAGGTTTAGACCTTATCTGTCTGACAGAAGTTCATCGGTCCGCCTTGGGGATTGTCATCCTCGGCATCTCTGTCATATTATGGAGTCCCTCAGGGTTTCGTTCTTGGGCCTATTCTATTCTCATTATATGCTACTACCTTCAGGGTCTATTTTTAGGAAATATCTCTCACTCTCGTTTCAACTTTATCTGCCTTTCAAACTCCATAGCACCACTGTTGGACTGCCTTGAGGATGTTAGAGCCTGGATGGCCTTACATTTTTTAAAGTTCAAAGTAGGGAAAACAGAAGTCATGGTATTTGGACCTGGCAACGCCTGTGAGCCCCTTATTTGGATCTGGGTGCTATAAAATCATATGTGAAGCCCAGTGTTGAAAACCTGGGTGTTATAATGGACAGTGACTTTAAAATGGATATTACTGGACTCAGTGATGTTGTTTAAAATCTGCTTCAGTCATTGGAAACAGTCTGTAAACTTGTGTTCAGTTCAGTCTTAAAATGTGTCAGCTAGTTGTTAATGCCGGGACTATCTGAAACATTCGGAGACTGAACTGAACACACTAACAGACTGTTTCCAGTGACATTTGGTATGAATTTTTTCATGTTATACAATGTCAGTATAGCAAGTATTTACATTCATTTCTGCACTTACACCTGGTCTCTTAATCATTAAGACAAGCATATTACTGACAGAAGTGAAAACAGGCAGTCAGACGGAGCTTGAAACACGATGGTACATGAAATAAATGCATTTTTTTGACAGCCCTAATTTAAATGTACCATCAGGTACAAAAAGTGTATTCTGTCATCTTCTTTAGAGCTAAGTAACTCACATACTATTGTACACTCCACAACTAATGTAGGTTAAGAGTGTTTCCCACAGGATTCTGTCAGACTATTGGGGATGGACCTTGTTAATGCAATCAATCTGGTGCACTGTGAAAGCAAAATGAAGAGCTCCAGCCCTCCAGGCTTTGCATTGACTTTTACCTAAACTTTAAAGTGGATTTAAACCTCTTTTTATATGTGATAGTGTCTCAGTCCACATCACATGCAGTTTTACACCAAAATAAAAAGCTTGAGGGTTTAACAAGAGTTGAACTGTCAAGCTTTTACTTTGGTGGAAAACTTTGCAAGGCATTGACTTTGTATAATAATACAAGTTAAATATAAAAATTAAAAATGCATATGTGGCACCTACACCCTCAAATTCTTTACAAAACACTCCTGTGTAATTTGGCCTTAAGATAGCGATATGTCTATGACACGTAGGGCTATTTATACACACTCATCTGCAGGGCAAACAGCTTCTTAAGAGGTACTCGAGATTCCAATACCGACTGCATTCCTCAAAACTATCATAAGTTCAAATAGATTATAGAGAGTACTGGCACCCATGTTCTCTCTGATCTACTTTAGGTTAGGTGTTTTTGGGAAGTGCTCCCCGGGGCCAGTCACTCCAGCCGGATGTTGGATGTAAGCATACACTCCCTCCAGCCTTCTGATTAAAATGTCCACCTGTTGCACCTACTAAAACTACCACCCGGCGCACCTACGCCCAGCCTGGATGAAGCACGTCCAGCTGACACATTCTGCCCCAGTTATATTTAAGCTGCCAGTCACAATGGTTACAAACTTTGCTAATAATAAAGAACTGAGTTGCTCATGACATCATATGAAGTGAAGCCATCTGATTTAAATTCGTAAACGTTACAAGTCAGCATTTTTATAACTGAACTCTTTACATTCTTACAACACAAACATCCTAAGCATGTAAATAGTATTTATTGTCCCTGCTTATTAAAAGTGTGAGCGAGCTACAAATAAGCCTATTGCAAATCACAAATTCTTATTCTGAAATCTGAATACGTTGCACAAATTACCATAAACATTGCAGTTCATGTCTACATTAATTCAAAATAAATTCACAGACATAAAACTAATCTTAAATTGTCCGAACAAGTCAAGACTTTTCACTTTACACTACCGTTGATGTGGTGTAAGTTTTAGTCTCAGATGTGCGCTACGCCAAGAAGGAGCAACAGATATTAATTCTGCACATAGGACTTAAAACGCATTTCAACCGGTGCAACCGACCCCTGGTGTGCTGCAATAACCTTATGTAGCGCCCTATGATTTCCAACGCAGCCTAATGAGATTAATCATATATTTATATTCAACATAAACGTAATATTACAACTTATATCTGCACAAAATGGTGCGAATACACAAGTGAACTTGAACTAAGTTGCGTGCGAGTCAGAAAGTGTAACTCCAGTTGTGGATGCGCTCTTACCGTAACAACACATTGAAACAGCAGCAACTAAACCCAAAGAATTCACGTTTCATAACAATAGTGTTCTCTTTATAATGTTATGTAATATGAGCGTCCCAATCATAGTTATTAATGTTGTGCATTGCTGTTTGAGCTGCGTGTGCTGAAGCTAAAGATGATCACCCACCGCTTTATTACCGCATTAATTAACCAAACGCATCCTATATGTGATAAATCAGATATATACTCAAAATAAACATAATATTACAACTTACAAATGCAAAGGCCGTGATAGATAGCACAAGTGAACTTGACTCTGCTAGTCATGAAGGTGTAACTCCGCTGTGCTAAAACAGGCACACAAATAATTCACAACAGTCTTTTACTGTAATGCTCTCATTATAATTCATATGGCCTATATGACAGACTTGAGCTGCACATGTTGCACTGAACCATATGTTCCTTTTCAAAGTGATTAATTCCAAACATATTTCAAGCAATTAAAAACCATCATGTTGAACAGTGCGCATCTGAAGGAAATAATCCAGTATTTATTGGCTTATATTATATCGGCCAAATTTACTTAATGATAACATTAAAAATGACCATTTATCGGCTGATATGATATGGTGGCCGATATGTGGTGCTGGTCCAGTGTCGACCCTGATGGACTGCCGGCATTTTTGGGTTTATAATAACATAGAGTTATGTTTCAACTAAGTTTAATGGTGCAGCGCATTTAGTAGTGCGTAAGCTGTATCTTTGTGCTCCTTTACATCAAAACTAGGCTAAGTTGTAACTTGCACACACAATTGTCCAACTGGCCCATTCAGTGATCGTTAACATTAAACACTGTTACTCTGGCATCATATTTCCCACACAGAGCTGCATGCTATGGTGTGAACGCTAGAAAAACAGCTTGAGTGGATCTGATCCCTCATGCCTCCTTTAGCTCCATAATAATCTTCCCAGCCTTTGATTGCAACCCTGATTCATACTTTGTCCTTGTAATCCAGTCATGTCCAGGGCTAAAATTAACCGTATAATGGCATGCAGTCGGTGTAAGGCTGTAATCTGCCCAGCCCTGCCTGCAAACACCCAGGTGGCCATTCAAAGAAGATTAGGAGGGTCACCTGTCTTTCCTTGTGTCTGTCTCACACTTTCATTCGGTCTCAATCTACTCCCCATTGAGCGTCCTCATCCTGAACCACTCCCACTATTGTGTCAAAACAGATCCGACCTTGAGATGTCTTTTGTCCCGACACTGAACGGCTGCTGTGTGTTTGGGAATGAGATGTACTGTACTATGTTTGTCTGAAATACCCCATTGCAACCTGTCTGGATCTAACGACACACATTCACATTCAGGAAGATGCATGCATGGGTGAAACTGCACTCAGGTCCTAAATGGACACAACTGCATCCTCAGTTTCTCTTCTGGATCTAGTCCCATATTCAGTAAGTAGAAGCTATATTGAACAATAGTGGCTGACTCTGTGATTATCACTCACTGAGATCGTCTAGTGTTATACATGCGTGATCAGATGTGATTGGACATCTTAGAATCTACTACATTCACAACAAATGTTGTTCATTGGCAGACAGGGCTGTGTGACTTGATTGAGAACTTATCTTAACTTGTGCACCGGGTTTTTAGAAAACTGCATCAAAAGACACAAGCGCAACGGTCAAACACGTCTGTCTAGTGCGTTTACATTGAAACATAATGGAGAAAGCAGTGCCGTGGGTTCTGTGTGAACCGGCCCTAAAAACAAAGTAACAATATAACACAACTCACAAATTAACAGACATTTTAAGAATGCTCACATCTTTTGATCTAATAAGAGTATATTACATGGACTTTGATTGCAGGTCTAAATGTTTAGTTTTATTTTTAGTTCAAAACTAAATTCTCACATTACTTGCCACTGGTGAAAAAGGCAAAAGAAACATCATGTCAAGTCACATATATGTATCGCGCTTGCTTTATACAATACCAGTTAAAGCAGCTTCAGGGTAACACTTGTGTTCATGTTGCAGCTGTAACGCAGCTCTACACCAGAGAAGTGTTCAGCGCTATAGACGACGTGCCATTATACAGCTCACTTCAGTTTGTGTTGTTTTGTCCTCGGATGATGTCAGTGCAGTCAAATCGATAATGTTTCTCAATATTACATTCGTGTCAATTTTATTCCACTAAATAAAGGAAATATCTCTTCACTAAGACTGAATTGCGCTTTTGTTTGCAGGCGCTCTCTGTTTTAGTTCCCGATTCACTACTGGATGCAAATCATGTAACCAACATCACCAAAAATGTGTGCTGAGTTTTGCATGACACAGTACCCAGCCCATCTAGTAGACTTTGGTTAGATCTGGGGCAACTTAACCAGCTCGAGGTGTGTGGAAGATAGGGTGCCTGATTGTGCATCCGTTCTGGCACATACAGTGGGGAGAATAAGTAGGCTATTTGATACACTGCCGATTTTGCAGGTTTTCCCATTTACAAAGCATGTAGAAGTCTGTCATGTTTATCATAGACGTTGTGATTTTTAAGTAGCCTAATTCATTTGCATTTTATTGCATGACATAAGTATTTGATCACCTACCAACCAGTAAGAATTCTGGTTCCTATGATAAAAATGACAGACTTCTACATGCTTTGTAAGTGGGAAAACCTGCAAAATCTGCAGTGTATCAAATACTTGTTCTCCCCACTGTAGTTGATTGAATCTGTACAGCATCAAATCTCCACTGCGTGCTGAATCTGCTCTTTGTGTTGCTAAAAAGGTGCTCAACTGCATTGTGTGTCTGGTTATAAAGCTCTACAAACATCCCTTTTAAACAAACAAAAAAGATTACCTCTTTTAATTTTTTGCAAAAATAACAGAATTTAGGCTATTGCATCAGGCTAGGGCTATGAGCAGCTCTTTACCACTGTGTTTACCACTGCACAAACTGCGCTCGACTTCTTTCGACTTATTCAGGCAAAAACGCATTAAAAGTTAGGCTAATAGTTCAGAGTCCTTGAATATGGAAAGCAATAAAATGACTCACAAAGATAAATGCATCATCATATGTCCCATGCTGAGCTTTGAGACGGAGCGGATGAATCAGGGACGGTTGTTTTGCAGATTATACTTGTTTTGAACAAGATCAATGTCTAGGTCTAATAATCTCTTAATTGGGGTATAATTGACCTTTGTGCTTTTATGTTAATGAAATGTTTTGCACATCTAAAAAAAATGTGCACAGCCCTTGAAACATCAGGTTTTGGCTAATAAAGCAGAAGATGAGAGTTCAGTGAAAGGGTCCTGAAATAGCACTAAAGCTGATGGTCGTGCACTGATGCAGAGACGAGTGATGCTCAAAGCTCCTTTACTGCGGGACGGCCCACATTCAGCCCACGCCAGTCTTAAGAGCAGATTAATGCTGTTCGTGAGTCTTTGTCCAAACAACATTTGGCAGAGGAGCCTTGACAAGGAAAGTTCTCTTGTACTGAAAGAAAAAAACATATTGATGCTGAGTTTTGTTTTCTTGTGCAGAGTATATAAAGTAGGGGTGGGAATCTCTAGGCACCTCACGATTCGATTCGATTACGATTCAGAGGGCTGCGATTCGATGCTAAATCGATTATCAGAATCTTTTTTTTGTGTGTGTGTGACTATAAATACTTTGCTTTAAAAGTACAAAGTAATGACCCATAAAGAATTAACGTACAATATATTTTATTAACATTGCAAAGAACCAACAGGAAAATACATGTGTGTCTGAACTAGCAGCATATTTGTAGTAAATTAATAATATAACAACGACCGGTGTTGTGCCGAATTTCGACTCCCTGCCAAATTATTACCCCCCTCGTTGAAATCAGTACCTGATTGCCTAATCCTAACCCCACCCCTAATCCTAACTCCTCCCCCACAACTAATCCTAAACCTACCATACTAGGGGGGTAATAATTTGGCGGGGGTCAGAATTCGGCACCACACCGGTAACGTTACAGCCGAGTGTTTTTCCTCCTCTGGCTGGAAACGTGTCATTTGGCTTCATGTGTCTTGTTTCCGAAATATTTTAGTTTTACTCTACAAAGCTTACAACTAGTGTGGCTCTTGTCCAGCTCCTTTCCCCCTTCAACTTCAGAAGCCAAAATATTTCCACACGTCAGCTTTTAACGAGGAGGGTGTTTGGATTTGGCGCTCAGCCATCGCGTCCGCGTCTGTTATGTGCACGCCACAGACGGTCCGGCCACTGCACTTCCGCGCTTCAGAGTTCCGTCTTTCGCGTTCCGTCAATATTACGTTATTATAAATATATATCTAAAAAAAATTTTTTTTTTTTGAAAATCGATTTTTGACAATTGTGAATCGATTCAGAATCGTCCACGTCCGCATCGCGATGCATCTAAGAATCGATTTTTTCCCCCACCCCTAATATAAAGAGAGAATTCACCCAAAAAGTACAATTCTGAATGAATAATAAATTGACATGTTGAACTGCGGGTTTGGGAAGTTTCCAGCCATGCCTTTGTTTACAAGCCTAATCTTTGTGAGTTTACTGAACTGTAGAGAGCATTTGATTGGACAGAAAATCTGCTGATCCTACATCCTTACGTAACATCACTTGACAATATAAGGTGAAATGCATTGTATTGGGCATTCAGTGAACATGATGCCAGACCGGGGGTTTTGTCCGTCTTTGTCAATCTTCCTGCAGAGAGTCAAACTGTGTGTAAATCTTAGTTCTAGTGGCCAGGTGGCACTTCTAGTCTCTAGGCACGCTGGCGCTCACAAGGCTTTCGGTCATTTGATGGAAATAAGGTCTGTTTGATCACACAACTGGCGGTGTCTTCTCTCAGCTCTGGCTGCAAGGACTGCCCACTGAACGCCTATAACACACTATGTTTGCCTGCCTTAGTCAGACTTGATGACTGCAGCACGAGACAGAACGTTCTCTGTCCAGAATCCTGTTGAAGATACAGTCCAAGTCTCCTGGTCTTCGCTTTTGAGATTTCCAACAAAAACCTCAAAACCCAAATTATACTTCTGTTTGGACGCGAACACTTAGGCTAGGTTGCGAGAATCTCTTAATCCTCTCACACAAGTGCTCATCAACGCTGGTGTCTGTTGTTGTTGTGTCTCAGTAGTTTGTTGTTGTTTTGTTTCTGTATCATAGGGCAGTGTTGCCACCTTGTGGACTAAATCATTAGTGCAACAACAAAAACACCTCAAAGTGTGCGAGCTGAGCATACATTGTACGTGCAGGTAGAAAAATCTGACTGCACTCTATCATCTCTCCTTTCCACCTTATCTTTCTCTTCTGTCCTGCATGAAATAATATATTCATTTCGATATTAGCTTATGATTTTATTAGGGATGTACACGAATATTCGATCTGTAATTATTATTTGATAAATAAAATACTTGTTATAATTAAATGCACTGGGTGGCGCTGTGGAGCGCGTTTAACAAGTGGATTGTATTTGATCACATAATGTCATTACACATCCTCTGAAAGAGTACAGAATCGTTTACGCATCCGAAGCGCGTACTCGGAAAGCCCCTCGCAGACATTGCACGAATGCTGAATTGATTTCTCTTTCATGTCTTCTTGCGCTTTGAACGCACATATTCACGTATTGGAGAGTATCCTCGTAAACATAGTCGGTTATGTCTTAAGTCCTTCGGATGAGACGTTAAACCGAGGTCCTGACTCTCTGTGGTCATTAAAAATCCCAGGATGTCTTTCGAAAGAGTAGGGGTGTAACCCCAGTGTCCTGGCCAAATTTGCCCAGTGGCCTCTGTCCATCATGGCCTCCTAATCATCCCCAAATACTGATTGGCTTCATCACTCTGTCTCCTCTCCACCAGTAAGCTGGTGTGTGGTGGGCGTTCTGGCGCAATATGGCTGCCGTCGCATCATCAGGTGGATGCTGCACATTGGTGGTGGTTGAGAAGATTCCCCCTTCCATGTGAAGCGCTTTGAGTGCCTAGAAAAGCGCTATATAAATGTAATGAATTATTAAGTGAACATAAAGGGCCCTATTTTAAGTATCGAAGCGTATGGACTAAAGCGCACAGTGCAAGGTGTGAGGTTAGGTACTCTGAATCCACTTTTGCTAGTTTAATGACAGGAAAAATGGTCGGCGCTCCTGGCGCATGGTCTAAGAGTGTTATCCCTATTCTCTTAATGAGTAATGGGTGTGTTACCAATTCCTAATGCTCCCTTTAAATTAGGGCTGCAACAAACGATTATTTTGATAATCGATTAATCTAACGATTATTAGAACGATTAATCGACTAATCGTCGATTATTTCGCAGACTAATCAGTAAGTTTGGAACGATTATTCAGCTTTTCCAATTAGTTAAAACATTGAGTTATACATATTCTAACTATAATACAAAAAAAGAAAATCACTTCAGCTTTTGAAATAGTTGTTTTAATGAACTTTGAGCCAACT